TTTATAGCCTTTTGGGCATAGTTCCAAATTGCTCTCCAAAATGGTTGTATCGTTTCACAACTCCACCAGCAATGCATTTGTGTTCCAATTTTCCCACATCTTCTTCAACATTTATCATTTTCCTGTTGTGTCATGTTGGCCAACCTGATAGGTATGATGTGGTACTTCAGAGTTGTTTTGATTTGCATGGTACTGGCTAAGAAAAAAAGTGGTGGATCAGTGGAATAGGTAACGTATGCAAGACACAGTGGTCAAGGACTATAGTAATCTACCATTTGATAAACCCAAAGACCCCCAGCTTCTGGGATAAGAACTCACTATTTGACAAAAACTGCTGGGAAAACTGGAAAAGAGTATGGCAGAAACCAGGCTTAGACCAGAATCTCATACTATATACCAAAATAAAGTCAAAATGGGTTCATGATTTAGATATAAAGGCTGATATATACTGTGAGCAAACTGGGAGAGCAAGGAATAGTTCACCTATCAGATTAATGGAGAACAGAAGAATTCATGACCAAACAGGAGATAGAAAACATTACAAAATGCAAAATGGATAATTTTGATTACCTTAAATTGAAAAGTTTTTGCACAAACAAAGCTAATGCAACCAAAATTAGAAGGAAAGTAGGAAATTGGGAAAGAATTTTTACAACCAGTGTCTCTGATAAGGACCTTAATTCTAAAATATATAGGGAATTAAGTCAAATTTATAAGAATACAAGTCACTCCCCAATTGATAAATGGTCAAAGGATATAAACAGGCAGTTCTCAGATGAAGAAATTAAAGCCATCTATAGTCATATGAAAAAATGCTCTAAATCATTATTGATTAGAGAACTGCAAATCAAAATAAAAGTGTTTTTTCAAAAGTTGAGTCATTGTCCTAGGAAGCAGTTTTATTAAAAACCTGTATAGTTTAATAAATGCAATCTAGTCTGCTTTGTCCTTTAATTCTGGGACCAATTTAATGTCCATTTACAGTATCCACATCAGATTGTACTGATATACTAATTCAAAGGACCAACTCTCCATCTGTGTATCAGAGTCTAGATCAGTGGTCTTCAAACTTTTTGATGCCTGACCAGTTTAAAAAAAATTGAACATGTACCTCAATATGAATTAGGCATAGGGCCTGGACCTGTGGTTTTATTGGTTAAGAGGAATTCCTGAGTAAGGAAACTTCCTTTTGGCACCTTCTCTGCATTTTAAGAGTCTTAGAATCTCTGAGACTGAGCACTTGGAGGTTAAGTGACTTGCCCAGGGTCACTCAGCCAGGCTTGAACTCAAGGGTCTTCCTGACTCTGAGGCCAGCATTCTATCTACTGTGCCATGCTTCTTTTGTACCCAATAATCATACATAAATAAGCTAATAAATAAAGTTCTAACATGTATTTTATAAAACATAAAATAGAAATGGAAAAGAGTGAGATGCAGATAAAGAAGATAAACATTTTATTTTATGTGTTAATGGTATAAAACCTTTTTGTCCTTGGTAAAAATCATAATGATATTTTTAGTGAAAGAAGTAGGATTAAATCTTTTGTTACCTGGGGAAAACTCCTCCTAGGAGATAAGGCAGATTTATACATGTTTGTTAGTAATTAATTATTCTGTTAATTTGATTGGTATAACTAGCCAAATAGGTGAATTTCTTTATATGCTTTTTATTGAAATATACAATACAATAGTAAAATAATAGGTCAGAGCAGTGAGTGAACATGACAGTTTTTCAGCAAGAGTCATGTTTTTTCTGTTTTTGCACAAAGCCAATGCAACCAAAATTAGAAGGAAAGTAGAAAATTGGGAAAGAATTTTTACAACCAGTGTCTCTGATAAGGGCATGATTTCTAAAATATATAGAGAATTAAGTCAAATTTATAAGAGTACAGAATGCAAAACTGAGCAAAAGTAAATTGTTTCTAATTTCAACTCAGCAGAAAGTTTACATTGTCAATTCATTCTTCAAGTTTTGCTTATTCATGTTAAATATTTTTGCTGTATTTTTATATGATATGAGGAACCCGTAGTTGTGAAGGAAATCATGTCTGATCTATTGTCAATGGGGAGCTGCTGGAGTTTGTTGAGTTGGAGTATGTTGTGGTCAGATTTGTATTTTAGGAAAATCAGTTTGGTTGCTCTCTGGACGAATAAGTGGATTGGGCAGAGATTTGAGATAGGTTAGGAAACAATTTCAGTAGGGCAAGTAAGAAGTTATGAAGTCCTGTATTATGCAGACACTTGTATGAGTGGAAAGAATGGGACCATAAGAGAGATGGTATGAAGACAGAAATGACACAATTTGGCAATTAATTGACTATATGGGGTAAGTGAGAGTCAGGCATTGAGGAGGATATTCAGGTTGTCATCTTAAAGTGGTGATGATATTCTTGACAATCATAAGGAAGTTAGGAAGAGAGGCTGATTTTCAGGGAAAAGAAGATGAGTTCTACTTTGAATATGTTGAGTTTGAGATGCTGTACATAAATCCAGTGTGGAGATTCAGATCATGCCCTCTAACTGTAGGTGTCACACAAGGTTCTGTCCTGGGCCCTCATCTCTTCTCCCTCAATACTACCTCACTTGGTGATCTCATCAGCTCCCATGGATTCAATTACCATCTTTATGTTGAAAATTCTCAAATCTTAACTATCCTGTCCTTACTTGTTGGCTGACCTCCAGTTCCACATCTCTGTCTTCCTTTCAGAGATCTTGAACTGGATACCCAGTAGATATCTTAAACTCAACATGTCTAAAAACAGAACTCATTTTCTTACCTCCTATTCTCTGCCTTCCACCCCCAATTTCCTATTGCTGTAGAGGGCAACACCAATCCCTCCAGTCCTTCAGTCTTGCAACCTAGTTTCATCCTTGATGCCTCACTATCTCACTCTTCCTATCCGAATACAATCTTTTTCTCCTCTGACACTGCCACCATTCTGGTGCAAGGTCTGCGTACCTCAAGTATTTCCCCACTCTAATCTATATTCCGTTCAGCCACCAAAGGGATTTTCCTAAAGAACAGGTCCAGTCATGTCACCACTTAACCAAATAACCTCCAGTGATTCCCTATCTTTTCCAGCATCAAATACATAGAATTCTCTCTTTGGTGTTCAGAGTACTTCAGAACCTAGCCCCCTCTACCTGCTCAGTCTTCTTGGACCTTGCACTCCCCTCCCCTAATATACTCTTTGATCCAGTGACTCTGGCCTCCTTGCTCCTCCATAACACTCCATCTCTTGGCTCTGGGTATTTTTTCTGGTTGTCCCCCATCCCTGGATGGGGAGTGCTCTTTCTCCTCGTCTCTGCTTCTTGGCTTTCCTGGCTTTCCTCAAGTCCCAACTAAAATCCCATCTTCTACAGGAAGCCTTTCCCAACTTCTTAATTCTAGTGCTTTCCTTCTTTTATTTTCTGCTGGCGTACTGGATAGAGTGCGACTTAACCTTCCTGATTTCAGATCTGGCCTTATACTAGCTGTGTGACCCTGGGCAAGTCACTTACCCCGTTTGCCTCAGTATACTCATCTGTAAAATGAGCTGGAGAGCAAACCACTCCAGGATCTTTGTGATGAAAACTCCCAATGGAGTCACACAGAGTTGGACACGACTGAAATTACTGAGCAATACATAATTTGTTTGCTTGTTGTCTCCCCCCTTTAGATTGTGAACTTCTTGAGGGCAGGTACTGTCTTTTGTCTCTTTTTCTATCCCCAGCGCTTAGTTGAATGCCTGGAGCATAGTAGTCACTTAATAAGTGTTTATTGATTGAGTGGAGACCACTGGTCTAGCCAATAAAAATTTTTATCCACTTGGTTTATCTTATATGGATTTTTAGGCTAATTTCTTTTGAATAGTCTTGAAGATATTTTGTATTGTATCTCAATCTTGGAATTACAGAATTTTTTATCTGGAAGGGACCTTAGAAAATGTTTAGTCCAACTTCCTCATTTACAGATTAAATAACTGAAAAATGGCAGAGTTTTAAACAATTTGCCAAATAAGAAATTGTAGATGGCAGAGCTGAGATTTAGATCTGGGTCCTGTGACGCCGTATCCAGTACTTTTTCCACTGCATTAACTGCCTCCTTTAGCCCAATATCACATGTAAAGAGGAGAAATTGGACAAGCAGCTATATTGCTCGATCATTGTACAGGGCATTCCCTGAGATTTTGGAAAACACCTTTGGTGAGCTCTTCCTATTTTTGTGCCTGTCTTTAAGCATTAAATAATGAGGATCCCTGGACAGATTTGTATCTGTAGTTACAGGCAATTTTGTATAATTTTATCATGAGGAACTGTTAGACCTCTGTTAAGACTTTTGTTCATCCAGTGAGCTTTTTTCTTTCTCTTTTTATGATCAGCAACCTGTAAATACAATGGGGTCTGGTAGTCTCTCTCTTTCAGTCAGTTAGGTGACACTAAAATTGTAGTGTGCTGTGGAGAATTTGCAAGAGCCTACATGGTCCTTTCTCTTGTTTTCATCAGTGATACCCTCATTGCACATGTCCATCATTTCATAAAGTTTTTGTAAAGATGAAAAAGGTGGTATGAGTTTAGGTAGTTTAATGTTCTCTTGATTATCTTCGGGGATGTTAATAGTCTTGATTTTTTTTTTCCATTTTTTTTATCTTTATTTCTCTGAGGTCTTATAAAGTAATCCCTGAATGCTTTCATGTGTTGCCTCCAGCATTGTATTCTTTGCTATATTCTTGGTCTTATCAACTCTTTTTCCCAATTTCTTGGGTACTATTTCTACTGTTTTGTGTAGCATATTAGATACTGTTTCTTCTCTCTATAACTTAGTAATAATTCCAGTGTATCTATAATTTCATCAGTATGGTTATTATAGCAATCAAATTGTAACTTTTTTGATATATGCCTTCATATATTTTCTTGCACATGCTTACCTTGAAGATAGTTTGGTTACTTGGGAAAGTCTTTATTTTGTTGTATACAATATGAGAAGTTTGATTATTAAATTATATTTTTATTATTTTAAGGAAATTCGAAATCAGTCCCATGACTACCCTCATAAAGTGGCGAAATCTCTAGAAAATAGAAATCGAAACAGATACAGAGATGTCAGCCCATGTAAGTACTTAGGGATTTGGTGGGGGGGGGGGGAAGGTACAATTGAGCTTGGAGTGGTGGTTGGGGAGTGGAGTTAGGACTTATAAATAGTTAAATGTAATGTAAATTTAAGTATAATACCAAAGCAACAGTGTTAACTGTGTGTTTGATTAGAAAAACTACCTGAAGTGGATCAGTGGAATAGATTAGGTACACAGTATAGAGTAGGTAATGATCATAGTGATCTGGTGTTTGATAAATGTAAAAATCCCAGTTTTGGGGACAAGAACTCACCATTTGAAAAAACTGCTGGGAAAATTGGAAAGTAGTTTGACAAAAACTAAGTATAAACCAATGTCTCACGCTGTATACCAAGATAAGGTCAAAATGGGTACATGATTTAGACAGTAAAGGTGATACCATAAGCGATCTATGGGTAAGGGAAGAATTTATGACCAAATAAGAGATAGAGAGCATTTCAGGTTGTAGAATGGATAATTTTGATTACGTTAAATTTAAAAAAATTTTTGCACAAACAAATCCAATGTATCCAAGATTAGAAGGAAAGCAGAAAAATGGGGAAAATTTTTTACAGCAACTCTCTCTGATAAAGACCTCATTTCTCAAATATATAGAGAGAATTGAGTCAAATTTATAAGAATGCAATTCATTCCCCAATTGATAAATGTTCAAAAGATATAAACAGGCAATTTTTAGATAAAAAAATCAAAGTTATTTATAATCATATGAAAAAATGCTCTAAATCACTATTAATTAGAGAAATGCACATTAAATAACTCTGAGGTACCACCTCACACCTATACTATTGGATAATATGACAGAAAAGGAAAATATAAATGTTGGAGGGGATGAGGAAAAATTGGGACAGTATTGGGACTGATGATGGTGGAGTTGTGAACTGATCCAATCATTTTGGAGAGCAGTTTGGAACTATGCCCATAGGGCTGTAAAACCATGCATATCCTTTGTTCCAGGAATGTCACTATTAGGTCTGCATCCCAGAGATTTTAAAAAGGAAAAAAAAGGGAAAAGAACCTATTTATACAAAAATATTTATAGCAGCTCTTTTTGTGGTGACAAAGAATTGGACATTGAGGAGATGCCCATCAATTGGGGAGTGGTTGAACAAGTTGTGGTATGTGAATGTAATGGAATACTGTTGTGCTATGAGAAATGATGAGCAGAATGCTTTCAGAAAAACCTAGAAACACTTAGATGAACTGATGTAAAGTGAGGTGAGCAGAACCAGGAGAACATTATACACAGTGATAAGAATATTGTACTGTGATCAACTCTAAATGACTTAGCAATACCATGATCCAAGACAGTTCCAAAGGACTCATGATAAAAAATGATATCCACCTCCAGAGAAGGAACTGATGGAGTCTTGAATGCAGACTAAAGCATACTATTCTTTACTTGCTTTATTTTTTTGTTTTTTTTCCTTTTGGTCTTTGTTTTCTTTCGCAACATTACTAATATGGAAATGTTTTGCGTGATTGCACATGTATAACCTATACATGTCTAACCATAACATAGAACATATATATGTATACACACACACATATACACACATTGCATGACTGCAAATGTATAACCTATATCAAATTGCTTGTCTTCTTAATGAGAGTAGCAAGGAGAAAAGGAGAGAATTTGGATTTAAAAATCAAAATTTTGGGGGCAGTTAAGTGGTGCAGTGGATAGAGCACCAACCTTGGGGTCAGGAGGACCTGAGTTCAAATCCGGCCTCAGACACTTGACACTTACCTTGGGTAAGTCATTTTAACCCCATTGCCTAGCCAAACAAACAAACAAAAAAAAACCAACTCAAAAACAAAAAGAAAAGAAAATCAAAATTTTTGAAAATGAATGTTTAAAATTGTTATTACATGTAATTGGGGAAAAAAAAGTAACAGCCAGCTAATTTTGAAGTGATTTTAGCAGATATCCAGTGTATGTCTTCCTTGAAACATACAGTGTAGTTTAGTCTGATTGAGACTGCTTCTTTTAATAAATACAATAGGGCTTTTCATCTGCTCCCAGTTGTTGTTTAAAGTTTGCGGGGATGAAAACTGGTCATGTTTTCAAATTAGTTTGTTTTTTATTTCTCTGTGTCGTGCAATCCAGAGCGTTGTGCTTGTGAACCAACATTAAAGGTTTCATTCCAGATGAGCCAGTCAGTTTCACACACTGTTCCATGACCACCGACAATATATAAAAAGAACAGACTAAGAAAGAGGTATTATGAAACCATGAATATTTATGATGTACGTCTTGCTTTTTTTGTTCAATTGTTAAGCATTTCTTTCCCTCCCCCAAAAGAAAAAAAAGTCCTCGTAACAAGTATGAGTAATCAAGCAAAATAAACTCCCACATTGATCCCTTCCAAAACCAAATCTCATCTATCATCTCTCCTAGGATATCAGGTAGCATTTTTCATCATTGGTCCTTTGGAATCATGGTGGTTAGTTATTATGTTGATCAGAGTTCTTAAGTCTTTCAAAACTGTTTATTTTTACTGTATAAATGGTTCTCCTGATATGCTCCTTCATTTTGCATTAGTTCATGCAAGTCTTCCCAGGTTTCTCCAAAACCATCTCTTTCATTATTTCTTTCTGCAGAATAGAATTGCATTATAGGTTTATATCATAATTTTTCAGCCACTCCCCTAATTTATCAACAGTCCCTTAATTTCTAGTTTTTTGCCACTAAAAAAAGGTTTGCTATAAATATTCTTGTATATATAGGAACTTTTTTTTTTTAACTGATTTGGGACTATAGGCTAGTATGGTTATCCCTAAGTCAAAGGGTATGTACAGTTTAGTGACTTTGGGAGGTTAGTTCCAAATTACTTTATAGAGTGTCTCATTCTAGACCAATTCATAGCATAACCCACAATATATCCCTTTCAACATTTGTCATTTTCTTTTTTTTTGCCAACTTTGCCAGTCTCTTTAGTAAAAGGTTGAACTTCAAAGTTGCTCTATTTTGCATTTCTCTAATTATTAATGATTGGGAACATTTTTCATTTTAAGAATAAATTTTTATTATTTTTTTTACATCATCAAAATTTCCTCCAGTATCCCTCTCCTTCTCAGACAGTCATCCAATAAAACAGTGATATTTTTAAAGAGGAAAAAAAACAACCAAACTTATTAGAACCTCAGATCTGAAAATATGTGTAGTGTATCATTGGGTACCTTTGTACAAGGGTGAGAATATCTTCTCATATCTTTTCTTTGAAGCTATGCTTATTCATTTTAATGTTTCAACATTGTTGATTGTGTTACATTTCTTTCAATTTACATTATTGTAGTCATTGTGCATATTATTTTCTTGTACATACTTTACTCTGCATCAGTTCATGTAAATCTTTCCATGCTTACATGTATTGATCATATTCATCATCTCCTATAGCACAGTAATACTGGGAATGTTTTTTTTTGTGTCAAGAGAGCTTGGATTTCTTTCCTTGAGAACTTCCTGTTCATATCCTTTCACTACTTATTAATTGGTGAATGGCTCTTACTCTTATAAATTTGAATCAGTTCCTTATGTATCTTGGAAATGAGACTTTTATCAAAGAAAATTGCGGAAAAGATTTTTTTCCCTTCTAATCTTAGCTGCATTATATTTGCGGTTTTCATTTTTAAAAATACATAATGCATTCAACACATTAATTCAAAGCTACTTTGCAGTCTTTTCCCTCTCAATTTCCTTTTGTTCTCTTCTGTGCATTTTTACATTCTTTAATGACAGTCTTTTCTTTTTTGCTTCTTTTTTTGAGGGACATCACTGTATTTCCATCAGTTCTCCCCTCTGTCCCACCTTACCCTCTTCCCTTTAAAAAAAAAAACCAAACAACCAATCAAAAACCTCCCCTGTAACAAATAAGCCGGCAAGCAAAACAAATCCACACATTGGTCATGTCAGAAAATACACATCCTATTCTGCACCTTTAGTCCACTATCAGGAAGAGGATAGTGTGCTTCATCATAGGTCCTCTGGAACTGTCATTGGTCATTGCATTTAGTCATAGTTCTTTCATCAATTTGTTCAGTTTTTAGATTCTCTAAATTCATCCAGTTTAACATATCTTATGGCTCAGTAGTCTTCCATTACATTTATATATGATGATATAAATTTTTGTACATGATGCTCCTTTTTTCTTTTATTCCTAGTAGTGATATCATTCTGAAAAAGTGTACTCGGTGACTTTTTAGGTGTAGTTCCATGTCATTTTCTAGAATGGCTAAACCAATTCATACATAGCTCCAGCAACAATGCATTCGTGTGACTGTCCTGCCACATTTCTCCCCCAACCGTTGTCATTTTCCTTTTTTGTCATCTTTGCCAATCTGGTAGGTATGATGTAGAACCTTAAAGTGATCTTATTTTGAATTTTTGTTACTATTAGTTATTTGCAGCATTTTTTCTTATGATCATTGTTACTTAGATACCTTGTCTTGAACACTGTCAGTTTTTATCTTTTGACCATTTAGCTATTGGGTAATGGCTCTTATTTCTTACTTATTTAAATCAATTCCCATCTTGTATCTTATCAGAGAAAACTGCTGCAGACATTTCCTTTTGTGGATAACTTACCCTTTCATTTTAACTGCATTTATTTTGTTTGTGCAAGAAAGCTCTTCAATTTCATGCAATCAAAACCATCCATTTTTTCTCTTGTTATTCTCTTTATCTTTTATTTGATCAGGAACTCTTCTCTTAGGGTGGTAGCTATGTAAATGGTAAGGAGAGGACATATACAAGAGATGTGATTGTTGTAACAAGATTTGGTAATGATCTTTTGGATATGCGGGGTGAGTGAAAATGATGAACTGAAGGTGATATGGAGATTACCATATAGAGTGACTGGGAGGATGGTAATGTCCTTGGCAGTAATAGAAAAGGTCAAAAATGGGAATTTTTTTTTCTTGGGGTGGTAGAAGATAATGAGTTCTTCTTTGGACATGTTGAATTTAAGATGTCTTTAGGAC